CCGGGTGTCGTTCTATTAGAGGTTTTACGGTAAAAGCCTGCGAAATTTTTAAGCAGGCAATATTTGCCTGTTTAAAATTTAAACCGGCGTCAAACGCCGCTTTCTTTTTGAGAATAGAATTTACCTTTTGATTCACTAATATCCCCTCACTGTAGCTTCAATTTTCATTATCTCAGTTCTTATAAAAGATAGCAACAAACCGTCAACTGATAAAATGCGCCAAATGTCAAGAAAAACATTTTGGCAGTTGACAGTTTGGTCGTATGTTTCACAAGAAGTCAGGTAATTGATTTTAAAGAGAGAGAATGAGAATTATAAAATGTTAGAACGAATTTGGTATTTGAGAAGTTACCACTAGTCTTCCATTAATAGTTATTGTGATTATGTCTGGATCGAGGTTTAGTTCAAAAGTATTTGTTTAGGCTTTTAGAATTTAAAGTTGTAAACTTTGATTTTCGGAACTTCAGAATGCAGTTTTCAAAAAACTCCGAAGTTTAGTGTTCTTGACATTTTAAATTTCAAAAATTTAGGAATCAAAGCTATTTTGATGGCTCAAAAATGTAAAGCTACAGTACAGAAACTCCAAAAATAGTTTTTGAAAAACGATGAAAACACTGAAATTTCCAGGAAATTCGAAAATTCTTGAATTCTGAAAATTTGAAGTTTGGAAACTTTCAGGAAAGTGTAGAGTTTCATGAAATCCATAAATTTTCAAAATCACACAAACCCTAGAATTTTTTAAAATTCGGAAATTCTGAAATTTCGGAAAACATTTTTCAAAAGCTTCAGACACCAGATTTTCAAAGTTTCAAACAGAATTCCAGAAGTAATAAAATATTTCGAAGGACTAAAAATATCAATTTCATTCCATTTCACTGTTTCGAATCGATCATCTGTTGTTTTTTTTTCTTTCTCAATCTTTTTCTATGAAGTATTTTCTATTGAAAAATTCATCTTTTAAAAACCCGGCGTTTAATGCCTGTGAAAAATTTTGCTGGCGATTCACGCCGCTTTAAAAACTGGCACTGGCGGCCAGTGAAAAAGTTAAAAGCGGCGTGAGGCGCCAGAAAACGCCATTTTGGCCAGCCTACTTTTGTAAACATCAGAAGAACTCAAATCTAGAGACCCCCACAGTGAACATAACTGGAAAAAAAACTCACCTAGAGAAAGGAGAGAATGCTCCAAACTGATGCCATCTCAAACACAACTCCTCATTGGATTTCCCATTAAATCCACAAATATCCGATCCAACGTACGGAATTCCAAACATATTAAATTCCATAACACCAATGACACTCGTCTGTAAATCTTCCCATCTTGCTGTATTATCTCCCAACCAATGTCCTCCATATCTTCCAGACGATGGGAATGTGCTTCTTGAAATAACAGCTGATCGTTTTCCGGTGACTTGAGGGATGGCTTGATACGTGGCACGTGCTTCACTCCATCCGTATAAATTCTTGGTGTCGTAGAAGTTTCTCGAACGACGGGCGGTCTTTCCAAGCATACAAAGAGTCTTTGAGAAGAGATATTCTCCACTTCTTTGGTAAACTGCTTGAGTGGGGTACGGTGGAACATCTAGAGATGAGTCGGGTCCGGAGATTGGACACGATAATTTGGCATTTGCTAATCGTTCTTCCATGGAAGAATAGGTTCCAGTGTCGAAGTTCGATGGTTCATTCATATCAATCCACATTCCATCGAAGGGAAGCTGCATGATTTATGTATATTGTAACTGTAGCACGCCAATATCATATTCTAGGCATTTTTATAGGGAGCCCCAATTTAACATTTGGCACAGATCCTCGTTTACTTTTCAATCGAGGGTTCCAGCACGTCCCAATTTTGGGTCATAATAAAAAGTGTGAACCCAGACTGGGTCAAGTTATTTCCCAAGTACGTCCGTTCCACAGTTCCCGCGTTCCAGATGAAACTCATGGAGGTACGTGTTACCATACTTTTGGCGCACCATGTAATTAGACTCCACCCCTTTTTCTGTGGTCGCTAGGTATATCTCATCAGAATGAAGTTGAGAAAAAAGTTGTCAATTACAACACTGAAGCTTCAATTTCGTTTAGTGTAGATACTGATGGGTTACTCACTGTCACTCTTATCTACAGCTGACATATACTATTTTTTGAAACAGAATTATTTCAGCGATATTATAACTATGTCTTCCCACTATAGGAAAAAATGCACAAATTCATAATTAGTGTTTCTAAAAACTTTGGTTCATTGTTTCCATAATTGTTCTCACCGTTTTATGGAATTGCGCAAATTCTCCAGCCCACCAAACATTTGTATTATTCTGTGTATCCAAAAAATCTGGGAATGCTGTGTTTCTCTCTGGCCAAACATTTCCCAACATGATTTTTGTGTTTTTGGCCATTGGATATTGATCCTGAATGTTGTGTGGAACTTGATCGTCTCGCGCCCATTCAATGAACATTGCGTCCTGGAAAAAAAAAAATGAATGATGAAGTTTTCGAAGGAGAATTAACAAAAAAACATGCAGGTAAACATTTTAAGGAAACTTTGAGACAGATTATCATAGTTTGTAGAACAGAAAAAGGTTTCAAAAATTGGTAAAGTTATAACATTTTTATATTTGATGATAATCTTTAAAAGATAAATAGTTTGAACCGAAATAAAAATAGAATTGCCGTTCTTGGACCCCTTAAAATGAATAATCGGGTAATAACTAAATTTGCTTTTTTTTCTGTTTCATCTAAAATTTAATACTGATTTTTAAAGCTTAGAAACAATCGCAGCAAAATTTTCTCAGCAAATTTAATAATTTTTCTAGATTTCAGTAGAAACTTCAAGGGATTCATATCGACAACTGGTGCATCTTGGGTTGACGGCCTAACTTTTCATGACAGATTTTTTAGACCAAGATGCGCAGAAATTTTCAAAGAACTAGAAAAGAAGTACATAATATACCAGAATTAACAGCGAAATTGGGAGTTATTTTGAAATTCTACATTTGAAACGGCGAACAATTTTCAAAACCGGCAAATTCAGGTTCTAAGTTCATGACCCATCTTTTCTCTTATCTAGGCCAACTAACCGCATTGATTCCTCTCTGGAAGGAGGAATAATCCACTTCAACAGCTGGATCGAAAATGACAATTAAATGAAGTCCTTGATTGTGCAATTGTTGGGTGTACGCTGGGAAGCCAGACCAGTTCTGAAATAACAACAATTTTTAGGTACATGAATTGATTTTTAAAATGAAGTGACTTTGAAACAGGGAAAAACAAAATGTTTTTTTTTTCTGTTTCTTCAAAGCTTGTCCTGTGAGCCGACATATTTTTACAATTTCCGACGAAAACATTTAAAAAACTCACATCTCCCTCTGTGAAATCCTCATAATGATTCATATAGTCAATATCTGCATACGGTACATCCAACGGAATTCCAGCTGCTTGATTCCGGGAAATGACAGTTTTCATTGCATCCAAACTACCGTATCCCCATCTGCAAAGCTGATAACCGAGTGCCCAGTAAGCAGGCAAAAATGGGAATCCAATGTGTTGAAGATATTGATTAATCACTTCTTCGGGCGTTGGTCCCGGGAAGAATGCCATATCGATTCGTCCTCCAATTGTACGATACAAAAGATGTGGTCCCGGACCGGTTTCCACTTCCTGAGCATTTGAATTCAAAATAAAGACTCCGTGAGCTTTTCCGTCAGATTCAATGCACATATAGAATGGGTGAACACCGTAGAGATTTTGTGTGGAGAGGGCGGAGCCAGAGTCTGGTCCAATGTCACGAGCGAACATTGGCCAAGTTGTGTAACGGTCCAGGTTGTGCTGAAAATGTTTAAAAAATTGCTGTTTCAAAATTTGCAGGTTAATTTTGAAAAGTTTGTCATTTTGTTGATACTATAATTTCCATAAAATAAATTTGAATTTGGTTCACAGAATCATACTAAAATTACAGGAAACAATTTCGATTGTGTTAAACTTTTTTTTGCTGTTTCAAAAATTTTACAATAATTTTCTATCATTCTGAAAATTCTATAGCTTTGGTGTACCAACCATGTTAAAAATTTACAAAAATGCCAACATTTTCCGATTTCAAAAAAACTTAAATTTAAAAAAACCCCCCAATTGAATGATAACCTCAAACATAACGATTTCATCAAATTTGAAAAATTTTGAAACGGTTTTTTTTTCGTTGCAATTTTTGCAGATTTTTTTCTCCCAAAAAATTTAGTTCTAGCGAAAAACGAAAAAAAAATTTTTTTTTCAAAAGTGCCCAGTTTGAAGTGTTTTTCTAGCGAAATTTCGTCTTTGATTACTGTAGCTAGATTTCTTCGATTTTCGGATTTTCAAAACTATCTGAAAATCCAATTTTACATTCATTAACATTTTTGAAAAGAGAGTTTACCAGGTTTCAAATTTTAATAGAAATTAAAATTTTTAAATAGATGCCTAGCTCCACATTTGTTTTGTCCTGTTAGTTTTCAGTTTTATAAAAAAATCAACTAGTTTATCGAATTTAAATTTAACTCGTCCGTTATAAATACAAACCATCAAAAGAATTCAAATTGATATCAAAAGTTCAAAAGTACAATTTTTGAAACACAAATGTTTCAATTTTTCGGTGGTACGACGGATTGGAGATTTCCTAGAATAAAACTGTAGCAATATGAAATAATCCTAAGTCAAAAAAGTTTCAAATTGAAAACTGTGAGAAATCAGAATTGTCCAGAAGTGGAAAGTGGAAGGAATAGAAACGCACAAAGTGGAATTGTCCCGTTTTGGACAGATTTTAGCCATAGAGCGCGCATGCACTCAATAATAAAAAATATTCATTTTTTCGCGTTTTTTCTCAATGAAAAGGGGAACTCAATGCTTTTTATATACGATTTTATCCGTTTTCTTTAAAAAATTCGATAACAAATCCATTAAAACATGTTTCAGCAAATTTAAGTAAAGCCAGGAGATTGTAGCCGCCGATAGGCGGCGTAAATCGACTGGTATTTTTACAAATGTCAATTTTTGATTCCGAAAATTCCATACACCTATGGTTATACCGTAAACCCTGTATTAGAAGAGTCTATCAACTTCGTCTCAATTTATCTCGGTTTCTATAAGAGATATCCAAAACATGCCAAGTGATGAAATGTAGGTGGTATTATGATAGATTATTTATCCGTTAACACCTTGTTGATATCTTCTACTGGAACCGAGATAATTGAGCATGTAGTAAGTCAACTGTAAATTAAAAATTGCTGTTTTAAAACAACCCTGAAAATACACAATAAATAAAGGAATTTACTGGAATTGCTGTATAACCAGAAAACAAACATAGAGTAAGTTTTCAGGAATATCAAACTTTCTAAAAATCCGGATTTCAAAGAAATTTACTGTTTCAGAAAATATTTTCAAAAGTTACATTTTACTAGAGAAGTGTTAACTTGTGTATTGCGTTGTGTTTCAGATGGCGGCAGAATATCATATATCATTACAGAACCTAATTGGTCAACATCCAGCCTTGGTCAAAATGTTGATTTCTGTGCAAAAAAAATTTATCTGTTTCACAGAATACCAACTTTTGTTAAAACACTTCGTTACATCATCATAGATCGAACTGCTCAAAAGCTCATTTATAGGCTAATAGGTAAATTTTGATCAAATTCATCTCGTTTCCTGTCAAAGGTATCAAAAAATTATCAAATGACAAAATATTTTTGATATTATGATAAACATTTTTTCAGTTGACCACTTTTTAATATTTCTTGCAGGAACCTAGATAAATTGGGTCAAAGTGTACATATGCGTTTCTAAATGCGGTACTTCAGACAGAAATTTTTAAATGACCGCCCTTCTGTTACAGACTTTAAGGTATCCAATTTAAACCCCCGATTCCCTTAAGTTCAAAAGTTTGATCCTTCATTTCGTCACATAACGGACAGGGGGTCTCAAATTTCCCCCAAAAACAGTCTAGACTCCAAAGATTACACTTTTGTCCTTCCAACTGTTTTTCCCCTATAATACCCTTAAAATGTCCGTAACTTAATGCCATTCTCTTTTTCTCTTTTTCCGATCCTTCACCGACTCAAGAATCCAGTGTCCATCAACTCTAAAGTGTATGCTCTATTTGCGTCGTCTTCATGCGCAAATGCTCCGTTGCGGCTCGGAAAGGCTGCTCAACAAACACGTCCGCCGCTTTCTCCCTTCACTTTTTCTCACCTAATGTGTACCGCGCGGAGCGAGAGAGAGCCGGGCAAAGTTTCAAGCCATTTTTTGCAACTTGATGCTCATGGGAAGCAAGGATTAGAGGGGCGAGCCGGAAACAGGGTGGAGCGTACGAGCAAAAATCATGCGGTGACAGTTTATAAGGGAATCCAGAGTGAGTGGGAGAGACATACATTCCTTTTCGTTTTCTTTCAGTTTCATTTAGTTTTGCGTTTTTGAAGAATACAAACTTTTCGAAACGTTTATTATATCATTAAGCTTTACGATGTGATCCAAGGCTGTGTAAGTTGCAGCCACGGTCGGCCGCGGCCGGCCGTAGCTTCAAGATTAAGCTTCAAGATGTGATGCACATCTTTGATTTTAACCCTTAAAAATAGCTAAATAATTCTATGTCCTATGAAAATTTTTTCTGTTTCAGTCTTCCTTCTTTCAAACTCAAAATGTTTTAATCCATTGATTTCCAAAAAAACAAATCTCTATTACTTTCCAGACCCCACCATGTTCTCAAAGCTGTTCACCACGTCTTGTCTCGTTGCGATCGCCCTCTCCACCGCCCAGGAAGAGGAAGGTCCCATCAAAGTTTCTTCCACGAAACGCCGTCAATACGTGGCTGCTCAGCAGCCGGTGGTCCCGGTTGTGGCGCCAGTTGGACAGTGTCCAGGTACGGTAGAGTTTTTGGGTAACTTGAGGGATCTTCAGGATGGTCTTAATGTCTTATGGTCATTCTTATTAAGTACCAAGGGGCTAGGAGGATCGTAGAACCTTATATTCATTGTTATCAGGTAACAAAAAGTTTGGCTTCATTAAAGTCAAACGGCTGTCCAGGTACGGTTGCTTTAAGTAAGCTAGTAGGTTCCGGACTGTAACGCCTTGTGGTTTTTGACATTGGCGCGTTATGATTGTCCAAAGATGAACGGCGTATTTGTGATTTTCATGAGATGAAGCAATTTTGACAAGGGGTAACTCAGCTCAAAGTTGCTCAAATAGCTTAAAACTTGGCCATTTTACTGGTGAATAATTTGAATTTTCGCAGTCTAAATTTGAGCCTATTACAACGCTTCATCACAACTTTATGATACAACTTTACTTTTGTCCTGGAACTACCAAGGGGTTTGGCTTCATAGCCCAAGATTGCCCTCATTGTCCAACAACAGTTACTGTTTCAAAAAATATGTATTACACCGAAAAGGTTGAACGAAATCAATTCCAAATCATATCCGATTAAAAAATTAATTCACTTTATCTCTATTTTCTTCAGGTGGACCATCGCTCCCAATCGAATGCGACCCAAAGCGTCCATGGCCACAGTGTCCACCACAATCTTACTGCTATGCTACCAACTCGGTCGACATCGGACCATACTTCTGTTGTCCAGTCTGGTCGACGTACGGAGCCGCCTGGCGTCCGGCCACCCCATTCTACAACTACGTTCCACCAGTCCCACAAAACTGGCCAGATGTTGCTAAGGTTAGTTTTTAGGACGGGTTACTGTAGATGATTAAAAATTCCACTTTATTGAGATGTGTAGGAAACTATGAATCCCCAAGCTCATAAAGCTCATAAAGGTCCAGCTCAAGCTCTTAGATTCCCAAAAATAGGGCTAAGCCTAACACCTCCAAGCTAACGCCAAATAGAGCAGCCTGCGGCTGCGTCTGATCCTTAGCCTATACTTTGACTTGACCTCAATTATCTCGGTTCCTATCAGAGGTATCTGAAATCTGTAAACTGATAAAATGTTCATCATAATTTTTCCAACATTTTATTAGTTGACAAGTTTTTGATATCTCTCATACCAACCAAAATATTCGAGTTAAAAGTTAAAGTATACGGTGGCGCTCTATTAGAGCATTTATGTTGGCTTACGGTACCTTGCTACACTCATCTAGTTAAAGAAATCAAACATACTAGTAATCTAAAACTCCAAAAATTCCAGATGACAGCCAACTGGCCAGCCGCCGCTGTCTCTGTCCCAGTCAAAGCCCGTAAGCCAACGAAATCCGACGATGGAGAGGAGGATCAACTTCCCGACGGAATCTCTTCATCCATCAACTCGTGGGTTCAACGTCAAAAGTTGTAAATTCATTCAAGACGACTTAATATTATATAATAATACTATGTGTCTGTAAATATTTACCTTGCTATTCCCCACTTCCGCCCATTTTCTTTATTTATTGTTAAGCTTTTTCGCGGCTTACATCTTTTTCGACCATTTATACACTCTTCATACAATGAACACGTTATTTGTAAAGACATATTTTTGATGTTTCAAAACAACTACAAGTTTCTAAAAATTGTGAAATGGGTGCTTTGCAAACGTAGCGTCTTACTCTGCAAACTTTGAGCTCAATTATCTCTTCTCCTATCAGAGATATCAAAAATGTGTTAACTGATAAAATGTTTGTATTTTTATCACCAACATTTTAGAAGTAAACAAATTGTTCATATCTTTTGAAGGAACCAAGATAATTGAGTAGGAAGTCAAGCTAAAAATTGTTCTTTCAAAAAAACTCCGAATATGTACATTAAGAAAGGAATTTATTTACACTGCCGCACTACTCAAGAAAACAAACATCAATTAAATTTTCAGATTTCCTAAAAATAACGATTCGCAAAAAAAAATAACTGTTGCAGAAAACATTTTCAAAATGTGATCATTGTGTTGTGTAGTATGTTTTAAGTCTATTTCCAAAATACCATATCTTTGAGCTCAATTAGATCGGCTACAATAAAAGGTATCAAAATTTTTTCAACTGATAAAATATTGGTGATATTATGATAAATAATTTATCAGTTCACAAATTTTTGATATCTCTCAAAGGAACCGAGATAATTAAGCTCAATATAAGCTCAATGTATTAAGCTCAATGTAGTTTCTTAACATTAAATAAAAAAATGCTGTTTCAAAAAAACCTCGAACATACACAATAGAGACGAAATTTACTGACAGAACTATACTTACAAAAAAGCAAATGTTAATTAAATCTTCGGAAAGTTCTGATTTTCCAAAAAATTAGAATTTAAAAATTTACTGTTTCAGAAAACATTTTACAAAAAATGTGTTCAAATTTTTTGTTTTGATGCGAACTTCAGTTCTGTTGCCAAAATACCGTACCTTCGAGCTCTATTATCACGACGCCTATAAGAGATATCAAAAATCTGTCAACTGATAAAATACTGGTGATATTATGATAAATATGAATATTTTAAAAGTTACGCATTTTCGTGGTGAGACCCATCATGATGCGCATTTTCGTGGTGAGACCCATCATACGGTAAAGGGGCGGAGTCTCGTCATTTCTGCTCTATTTCAGTCATTCGTGCCATTTGTCTTGCTGGGAGGAGGTCGTTTCTTTTTTGCTCCTCCACACCATTCATATCTTCAAAATCTGACTTGAAGTCAGATTGAAGTCACACACCCATTTCTTTTCGTTTCATGCAGTCCCATTTCATTGCCTAATCACCAATTTTTTTCAGCAAATGTCGAATTCTTCCATTCAAGTCTCTCAAGAGACCTCGCATTCTTCGAAGACAGCTGATATGACAAATGAGGTTTGTATATCTGACTTGAAGTCAGATCAGGGAAATTAGATAATTTCTTTCAGACAATGCCCGATGATCCAATCGCCAACCAATCGATCTCATATATTTTATCTACTCAATTGAGCACCACCATCACTCAACGAAAATCGTCTTCGTCCATAACTCAGGAGTTCTCAGAAGAGGTTTGCATATCTGACTTGAAGTCAGATTAGACGAGATTCAAAATTTTTAGATAGTCCAGACCGTCGACATCCGTTCAGCTACAGAAAGGAAAGATTCGGACAAGAGACATAGTCCACTGCCAACTAGACAGCACTCGAGCGATTCTGATGATGAAAATGGGTTGGCCGCCAAGGTGAGCATTTCTGACTTGAAGTCAAATTTGAAAGAGTTGAATTTTTAGAAGCCAAGATTTTTCTCGCCTCAACGACCAGTCTTGATTCCTTCAGCTCCGATGAATACAATCGAACTTCCAACAAGTCCTGCAAGCAGTGGAAAAGAGAAGACAGTTGACTAAGAGTTGCCGAAAGAGCCTTCGGGTGCACTTCCAACAAGTCCTGCAAACAGTGGAAAAAATGAGCAGTCTGTTGACGAAGAGTTGCCAAAAAACGCACCGGTAAATTTTTTTTTTGCTCCAGGCCTAGTTTGAATATTTCCGTTTTCAGACAATTCCTGAAGCCCTCCAACAGCTTCGCCCCCTCCAACGACATCGAAAGGATATGGCGTTGAATGAATTTCTACAAATGAAATTCAAAGGACAACTGCTAAGACTGATCAATTGGGATTGTGTGGATATTTTGAAAAGCTATAATCCAAAGACTGCTCTTTTCAAAAAGAATGCGAGAAACAACCCCATTCTTCTCGTAGGAGGGAAATAATTTCCCAAAGCTCTTATCATCGAAGTCAATCATAGAACTGCTGCATTGTCCGAATACAAAAGTAAACACGAATTGAGCAATGAAGAACGTCAATCGGTTGTGCCTCTGTCCTATTTCAATATACCGAAACTGGAGTTCAACCAGATGTGGAAGGCCGCTCATAAATTGGATCGAAAAGTTCAAGGTCAAGTTGTCTTTGATTGGACCACGGTGTCTTCAAGAACGCGTGAGACAGTTCTTTTTTTTGTTCAGGCAGGAGGCTTTCCATACAAAAGGACACTTTTTAAAGTTTGAATACTGTATTCTTGCGTTAGGATTTATGAAGGCGGAATATGATGAACATGCGAGACTCGAAATGCTGCAGCATCCGGGCAAAAGGACTGAAGCGACCGATCGTCTGGTTACTTTGGGACTGGTGGACTCGAATCCGGGCGGAGGCCGAACAGAAGGAGTCCCTGTTGCTATGTTTCATTCCCGTTTAATTTTCACTCACGGGCACACGTTCTCTCCTAATGGTTAGAAAAAATAAGAGACCGAAAAAATCGAATGACAGTGAAGAAGATGATACGGTTCTGCCGAGATATTACTATTCGCCGGAATACAAAAAACTGGAAAGTGAATTGATACGGAAAGTTGTGAGAGAGCAAATGGATCCGATTGTGGAAGAATTGAAGGCAACTATCCAAATTACTCAATCTCAACTGCTGGATATGAAACAGGAATTAGATAAGGTGAAAAGTAGTTCAGGAGCAGAATAAGGAGATTGAGAATTTGAAAGGACTACGGGATGGTCCTCACTACCAGAAGACTTTACAGCAGACAGCTAGGAAGGTTCATTAGAACTGATGATTCAGAATATAAATCGGCATCAGAACGCAATGAGCTATACGGCATTACTTCTTTAGAATCGCGTCGCATTGCCACGGACCGCAAATTTCTAAGTAAGATGTTATCAGGGAAAGTAGATATTGAAACAAATAAGTTTTTCAAGGTAGACTTAAATAACAAAAAGCGTACTAAACCGAGGTTCATTTGGGCAAAACATAGAACCGTATTTTTTGACGTTCAGAGCGTTTCAGACACACAATTTTCTAGACTTTTAACTTTTTGAATTCACATTGTCAGAAACAATTCAGAATTTTTTTCTAAGGATTTTCGGAACTAAAATAGAAATTTTGTTAGGATTTTCAGTTATTTTCTAATAGTTAAAAGTCCAACGAACGTAGCAGATGGAATGAAATAAAACGTTCACAATTTCAAACATTATTTTTCTGAAACAGTAAAGATTTCTGGTAAGTGATCATATTTTCAAATGAAAAACCAGGAAATACTGAAAACCAACCTTGATTTTCTTATGAATATGGTCACCGAAACCGTAAATATTTTTCGTTGGAAGATAGGTAGCGATTTGGATGAACTTGTCGGCGAACTGCATTCCTCCTGGAAATGAGCTTGAAAAGTTTTCTGTTTCAAATAGAAAACGATAATATTAAGTTTGTAAAGTTTTATGATGAGATGAAAATCCTCGACTTATGCAAGATATCAAAAATCGGTCAACTGATAAAATGTGACTGATATCAAGACAAATAATTTTCAGTTTATGTGTTTTAAATATCTCTAATAGGAACCGAGATGGTTGAGCTCAAATTGCAGGCTCTTTTCTCTTTTCTGTCAAAAATGACTTCGAATTATTATTCTACTTGTAAGATTACATTTTAAATTTTTAAAGGATTTTTAGGTTTTTTCTAAAGGCTTTTTTCCGAATTTCTTCCTTTAAACTCACCAATACTAGTATCCCAAAGAGCTGCTCCAGTACTAGCTCTGGTCACTTTGAAGCTGAAAATATCAGAACTTCCAATAGTTCCAGATGTGAATTTCAGGGATTCGGTGGATGTTGATGGTTTCTTGGGGATGTTGACTGGTGGAACATATCTGTCGTCATTTCCGATTGTGAGCAGCAAAGTGGCTCCATTGGAAGAGTATTTGACATTCAATGGAGAGATGTTCGTGCCGTAGGGATTTGCTGGAAAAAAGAGAAATGTCAAAATAGAAAGAATATAAATTCTAGTTCATGAACAGTTCATATTATCCTTAAATCGTTTTAGAGGTTTCCATTTTTTCTCTTTTTCTTTAAACATACAAAAAAAATACCGTAAACACTCTAATAGAACGCCACCCGGACCGGTGAGCCTATTTATCTCACTTTTTTTGAAAGATATCAAAATTTTGTCGACTAATACAAAGTTTATTATGATATCAGCAACAGCAGTTGACCACGTTTTGATATCTCACACAGAAAATGAGATGAATGGGCTCGAATTCGATGAATCGGGTGACGTTCTATTGTACGCTACATACTGAATGAGGATTCAAAGTTAAAGTGTACCATACATATTGAAGTTGTTAATTAAGCACCACCTATAAACCCCATAGAATTCATATTCTCTCCAAAACAGAATTAAATCTCAAAAAGAGTCCAGAGGAACACCAATAAGTTTCTTGCAAACCCAACAAACTGTAGGATTTTTGAAACAGCCAATTTTTGTTTTTATTGTTGCAGTAGAAAGGTAAAATATGGTTTAAGTTACGAATGAATATTAGGATTCGTGAATACATTTCAGTGTTCTTTTCTTTCAATCTAGAATTGTTTTCTTTTAAAACATTTTTCCCAAAAATAAAAGACATAAAGGAATTTTCAAAATTCAAAATGACAGTTTAACTCTTCTTGTGAATAGCGATGATCTTAGCATATTTTTTTCCGAAATTGCAATTTTTACTGTTTTGAAACAGATATAATTCTAGTTATAAATTGAATATTCGTTTATACTTTTTTTCTGATTTATCCTGTCGTTACAGATTAAAATATCTAGTTCTGCTTTAAAAATAACGAAATCAATCAAACAAATGTCTGATTAATAAAATATGTTTGATGAAACAGAAATTTTTGAAAAGCTGGTTAAAACTTGAGTGCTCTCCAACAAGTTTTTTTACAATTTACAATATACCGTAAAACCTCTAATAGAACGACACCCGG